TTTATTGTGATAGCAAGGAGAGAAAGGGAGAAAAAAAAATTGAAAATATTTGCACTTTCTATAAAAATGGAAATGATATGCAATAAATACAGGAATGTTTAATATTCATAATAGTCTGAAGTGAATGCGGGGTTACCGTTTATCATAATATTCAATCTCAATTACACGAATGATTAATCAATTGATTAATTACCCACTCAATAATAATTAAAGGTTTGATCGTCAGCCGTGTCACAGATCTTATTGTTTCATTATATTATCTACAATTTCAACATGTACGTCTATATACATGTCGGATTGCCTATTGTCCCGCTATATACCACATGAGATCAATTCGCAAGTTATGCCAATAGTGGATTTTGACCTTTTGTTATATACAGTCAAGAGAGTTGCGAATAAAGGTGCGCGCGCATACGAAATCACTTTCAATATATATGCATTTTAATATAATATAATATAATATAATATAATATAATATAATATAATATAATATAATATAATATAATATAATATAATATAATATAATATAATATAATATAATATAATATAATATAATATAATATAATATAATATAATATAATATAATATAATATAATATAATATAATGTAATGTATTGTAATATAATATAATATAATATAATATAATATCACTGTAAAAAGAAAAGTACTAATTTAGTACAAATTCTACTTTTGTTCTATTTTAATACTGAAATCAGCTCCAATTTAACAATAGTATCAAATAATAATTATAATAAAAAATAATAATTATTATAAAACTTTGAAAATTAGTTGTCTAAATAATATAAATTGTTTTTTTTTTGGCACAATTTTAATATAAAATTACAATTTAATTGCACCGAACAAAAATCTGTTGAATTGTCTGACCATAAAGCTTTTTGACTACTGTAAATTTCAAGGAACGGGTTTAGGGGAATTCGCGGTATTCTGAAATATCTATGAGCAGAAAGTTTCTTTATACCAGAGTGAAAATTGAATGAAAGGGAATGTGAATATAGTTGAAAAGAGAATTGTGATTTTCAGTTAGTTGTTTGATAAATATGTTGCAAAAAAAAAGATTTATTTTTATTTTAAAAATTATAGATAGAAAATTAGTATTTTACGTATAGTTAATCGGAGTATAAAAATAAGTAGTTAAAGTCAGTTGTGAACAGACAAAACATTTCTAAAGGCGTACGATTAGAAAATCAGTAGTGCAAGTAAATTCTAGTCAGACAATGTCTCATTAAATTCTTCGCGTTTAATAATTAAGTAGTTCCAGTAAATTTAAATCAGACAATGCTTTAATTAATTTTCTTTGTTTGAAAATCTGTTGTTGAAGTATAAATGTTTCGTAAAAAAAAAAACATTTTTAAAGTACATCTCGTCAACAATATGATCAGTAGTTCAAGTCAATTTTAATCAGACAATCCTCTATTTTATTTCTTTTCATTTCCCAATCAGTAGTTCAAGTCAATTTTAGTCAGACAATTTTCTACCTATATCATAAGCAGTTTATCTCTAATAAGAACAAGTAGTAAAAGTCAATTTTAGTCAGACGATTATTTTCTCAAATATTTTCAGGACGCCCCTTTTTTCATGAATGGAAAAATGCTAAAAACGTAGAAAATAAGAATTGTTATTTTTGTTATTTTGAATATAAGTTTTTCCAAAATAATTTAAAACTGTGAAAGTCGGATAAAAAAATTTTGAATAACAGATTGACACTTTTTCAAAAAAAAAAAATTTTTTTAATTTAATAATTAAGTAATTAAAAAGCTTTTTTGAATTTTAGTATATCTATTAAATGAACTTATTTTACATTGACCTTTTTGACACTTTAATATTCATGATAATTTTTTGAATTTTTTTAATCCTACTTTTACGGTTTCAAATTTTTTTGGAAAAATTTATTTCACAATACCAGTTAATAATTTAGATTCTACATTAAAAAGAGATTAAAACAAGACCAAGAGCGCTAATAAAAGTTAATTAGTTTTCGAGAAATTAAAACATTACGAAAAGCATGCAAAATCCAGTATTTTTTCTATATCTGACAGAATAGTCAACGAAAACTCCTCGATCAGGTGTCAGTCTTTTCATTATTTCATTAGCTTTCAGGAAAAAAATACGAAAAAATCTTTTCATTCTCATTTTCTACGTTTTAAGCATTTTTCCACTCATGAAAAAAGGGGCGTCCTGATACTCACGGACGGTAGTGTAACTTCAGTCACAAAAATAATTTTTAATCAAACATCATAACAAATAAAGTAGTTGAAAGGTAGAATTTAATTAAAAATCAATTTTTGGTCAGTTTTTTTCGGGTTAAGTAAATTTTAGTCAAAAAAAATAATTTCTAATAAAAAATTATAACAAAAGAAACTCGTTAATATAATTAAGTAGTTTTACTAAATTTTAATCTGATTTTTAAATAATTGTCTTCGTTTGAAAATCAGTAGTTCAGGTCAATTTGAATCAGACAATAAATCCTTTTACAATTACTTTTAGTTGGAATTTAGTAGTTAAAGTCCATTTTAGACAAACAATTCTTTTTTTTAATATTTCAAAATAAAAAATTAAAAATAAGTAATCGAAGTAATCTGAAGTAACAAAAAAATGTTCTAAAAGAAAATCATTATGAAAACAGTAGTCAAAATCAATTTTAGTTAGACGAACAAAAATTTGAAATTATTTTTAATAGAAAGTATGTAAATAAAGATGTTTTTTTAAATCATTTTTGAAAATCAGTAGTATAAGTTAATTTTAAGCAGACGAAGTTTTTATCAGTTTTGAATTAAATATCAGTAGTTAATGTCAATTTTAGTCAGACAATACAGTTATTATTTGTCTCTTATATGAAAATAAGAACTTCAAGTTGGAAAAATTAATTATAATCATATACAAAAATTATAATAATTAATAATATTAGAATTGACAATTATAAATATCAGTAGTTCAACTTTATTTTAATCTAACAAGCTTTTTATCAATTTTCAATTTAAAATTAATAGTTAATTCTTTTTTTCTACTTCTTACAGTTTTTCTAAAGGATATCGAATTGAGACAAAAAATGAATCAAAACGTTGCTTTTATAACAAATCACAAATTTTAATTGAAAATGAAATTCAAAGTTTTTAAATTTTTAGAAAATAAAGGAACAAATTTTACTCAACAAAAATGTCCTGTTACATTTATTTACGAATTTCTTTAATTGCAAAATTATTCAAAAACATCAATAAATTCTTTTTTAAATAAATACTTAATTAATATTTTTCTATAGGAATTAAGAATTTCAAAAATTTTAAATTCAAATCTTTCTAAATATTTAAATTTAATAACTTATATCAGAATATCTTCATGTTTTATAATAATTAAAGATGACCGAGTGATAAAATCATTGTTTTACATTATTATAATAATATTATTACAGTAATTTTTCAAAATTATTTTCATCATTTTAAATCAATTATTATTTTCTACAATTTTTTAATTATTTTTAGGAAAATACTTAAATTCCTTACAAAACATTTTATTATTATAAAAAAAATTGAATTATTGCGAAGGAATTTATAAAAAATTTTGAATTCCTGAGAAATTTTTATTATTTATGAAATAATTAAATGTACTTTCTAGTGTACTATTTTTGAAAATTTAAAATTGATTTGAAAATAATTGAACTTTGGGGAATAATTTTGTTATTTATAAAGATAATTCGGATTTTGACAAGATTTTTTTTTAAATTTTCAACATAATTGAATTTTAATTCTTTTGAAAATAATTGAATTTCTGCAATTATTTATTTACTTGCAATTTTTCCAAAATTAGATTTTTTTTAGTGTTTTCAACAAAAATTTGAATTACAAATTTATAAATTCTGTTATTTTTAAAATTTGCTAATTCTATCCTAAAAAGTTAGCCGCGCGCGCGCGCGAATTGTTGCTAGTTTTGGTAATAATTTAAAAAATGGTTTTAAAAATTTGATAAATCAAACATATTTTATTAGTCAGTTTGTAATATTTTATTTTTGAAAATATCCTATTGAACTTAAATAATTAAAATAAAGTATTAAATTGAATTAAAATAATCCGTTTTTAAAATAAATAAATTTAAATATTTCATTAATAAAAAATTTTAAAAACTATAAAAATAAATAATAAATATATTTGTAGTTTAAGTAAATAGTTATTTTATTATTGAAAGTAAAGAAAAGCGGTAGAAAAGTAATTAAATCAAATATATCTGTAATGCGTGACAGTAAAAATTTTCAATTACTATTTTTTCGTTAACCAAAAATACATTTATATATTTTTGAACTATAATTCAAAATTTTAAGTTTTTTTCTCGACAAAACGATGAGAGATTCTTAAGAGGGGAAGAGTGACGATAAAAAAAAATGTCAGTAAGAAACTGTTAATAATGACAAGGATAGATTGAAAATAACTTGACCTAAATATTGATGTGTATAAATTTTGCAATTGGGGTAGGGGGGGGGGGTGAAAATTGAAGTTTGAAATGCGCATAAATACGCAGTAGATCTGTAGGCAGCATTAAGCAGGGAATGAAGTCATTAAAAAGCGAGATTACAGCGATTTGTCAGAAATACAGAGTATTCCATCTCGACATGAGTGTCCATTCAGAAGCACGAGTTCCCCATTATTTTTCCCAATGCCGGACACTCAAACTGGGTTTAAATTTCAAATCCGCGCTCGCCGATCGTCGAAGAAGCTTACACTCTCTATATACTATATATTATCGATTAAAACTCGACTCTTACCCCCAAAAGTCTCTCTCCTCTCTTTTCTCTCTTTTCTCTCTTTTTTCTTCTCTCTCTCTCTTTCTCTTTCTCTTCTCTTTCTTTAATTTATTTTTATCATTTTTCCTCTTTCTTTAACTCGAAGCTATTCGAAAATGAACGAATAAACGAAACGAAGAAATGATTCAGACTACTATATATGTATATATAGAACAGAATCGTTAAAAGGAAATTGCTTTCAATTCGACAGGTGGGATGGCTGCGCCTTGGGGATCAGACGATACTGTCAATGGGCGAGAAAACGGTAATTCAATCGCCCCGTTTCTCAGTAACACTCGAGAATGTCAAGACAACGAATCAAACGCCTTCGAGGGAAGAGGAAACAACATGGCGTTTGAATATTCACACATTAAAGGAAGATGATCGTGGTTGCTATATGTGTCAACTCAACACCAACCCTATGTTGAATCAACTGGGGTGCGTGGACGTTCTAGGTATGCTTAATTGCATGGTGCACATTCCTACAACATAGTGCACGCTTGACAGATAGCTCGGTGTGCCATCGTTGCATAGGTTTCGATTAGCTGCGATGAAAACGTGTAGCACTGCACAGAATTACATGTTACAACCGCTTCTCACTCTCATTGCTCTATCTCACTCTCTCACACACACACACACTCTATATATATTCACAACATCTCACTCTCATCCATTTAGAGATATATATGCACGCACTCTCTCTCTCAATGATTCGCACATACAGATGTTACGCTGGCATTTAACCAGAATGCGTAAATCACACAGTATACACTAAATAATTATCTCTCTATATATATAATAATTGCATGCAAACAATGAATAGCCTAACAATCCTGTTTTCAAAACAAAAGAGCTTGTTATCGGCTTGGAAATTTTAAGAATTAAAATTCTAATTTTCGTGAAAGTTAGTAGTTTGGCTTTTGGCATGATATTTTATTCACATCTTCATCAAAATTATTATTTTATTTTTATTACGCTAATATTTCGTATTAAATGCTAATAAAGGTTATTGTTATTCTCACCTAAATGATAACTATTGACCTCGATTTCATTTCAATAGAAGGTAAATGATCTAATTTGTCGAACCTGGTTAATTTTTCTCTACTAAACTCCAATTCGCTTTTCTTACTTTTATTAAACAATTTTTTATTTTTTAAAAAAGAAACTGATTTTTAAATATTTGCCCCAATTGAATACAATTTTAAAGTTTTAAACTCACGTATGATAAATGTTACAAATTTTAAAGAAAAAATTTAGAATTCAGGGTTGCCACGCTTTTGCTCATTTCAAATTCCCTGACTTTTCCAGGTTAAAAAACCTAACTTTCCAGGTTTTTAAAACTACATTTGTTGACAAAAAAAATTTAATTTTGTTCTTCCCTGAGTTTTCCTTAAATTCCAGATAAAATTCTTACTCTTCCTTCACTATAAAGAATATTTTGGATTGGTGGACAATTTTCACAAAATCCGTTTCCCAAAAAAAAACTTTTCCCAAAATATTTTTTTCCCAATGCTGAATTTTCCAAAAAATAATTTTTCCAAAAAATTTTTCCAATGTTATATTTTTTCCAAAATGTATATTTATTGCCAAATTAGTAGTAAATAATCACATTCGAAACGTAATGTCCAAGTGATTGTAAATACGTAACAAGTTTGAAAAAATAATAGTTTGAGTAAATTCTAGTTTGAAAAAATATTTGAATAAATTCTAGTTCGAACTAATAATAGTTCCAATAAATTTTATTTCGATAAAACAATAGTTTGAATAAATTGTGGTTTAAAAAATTACAGTTTGAGTAAATTCTATTTTGAACAAATTTTAGTTTAGAAAAATAATAGTTTGAATAAATATAAATAGTATTTTGAAAACATTCTAATTTCAATAAATTCTATTTCGAAAAAATAATAATTTGAGTAAATTCTATTTCAAAAAAATAATAGTTTCAATAAATTTTTGTTTTAAAAAAAATACTTTTAATAAATTGTAGTTTGAAAAAATAATAGTTTAAAGAAATTATAGTTTGATTGAATTCTAGTTCGACAAATTAATAGTTTCAAATTTCAAAACAAGACTAATTTAAATAAATTCTAGTTTGAAAAAATAATATAATTTGAGTAAATTCTATTTCGAAAAAATGATAGTTACAATAAATTTTTGTTTCAAAAAATAATAATTTGAATAAATTGTAATTTGAAAAAATAATAGTTGGAGTAAATTCCAGTTTGAAAATTTTTTTTAATAAATTCTAGTTCGAACAGATTGGTAGACAATGTTGGATTATTTTTTTTGGGAAATAAAAAATTGGAAAAAATGATTTGCTTGGACAAATTTTTTTTTGGGAAATATAATATTGGGAAAAATTTTTTTTGGGAAAACAAATTTTTGGGAATAATTTTTTTTGGGAAAAAAATTTTGGGAAAATTGACCCCCCACCAATATTTTGATTCAGTTTAAAAATCATTACTCAGAAAAATATTCTATTACTTCTTTTTTAAATAAATATTTAATGATTATTATTACGTTACCTATTTGAAAATAAACAATTTTAAAAAAATTGTTATAAAACATGAAGATATCGATCATTCCGAGTCTTCGACTCGGAGCAATCGATATCTTCATGTTTTATAATAATTAATTAATTATTAAAGATGACCGACTGATAAAATAATTATTTTATATTATAAGAATATTGATACTGTAACTTCATAAAATTTATTTTCATCATTTCAATTCAATTATTTTTAACTAAAACTCTTCTTTAAATTAATTATTTTTAATAATTTTTGAAAAATTTCTTTGAAAACTTTCAAATTCTTTTGTTTACAATTCAATTTTACGAAATTTCATAGATTATTCGGAAATTTTTCAATCAAATATATATTAGAAAATAAAAACTTCAAATAATTTCAAAAGTTCCATTAAACTTTTTTAAAAAAATTAAATTTACCCAATTTTCAGTTAAAAGTATGAAAAATTTAAACTTTTAAAGATTATAATTTGAAAGATTTTCAAAATTCAAAATTACTTCTAAAATTAAATAAATTAAATTATAAATTAACTGTTAAATTAGTAGAAACGACTATTTATTAGTAAAATCTGCAAATTCTAAAGCAAAAAGTCAGTCACTAATTCAAATTAGAAACCATTTTTACTAATTCAAATTTAGAGAGTTTAATATTCAATTATTATTTAAAATTTTAACTGAAATGCATATTGAAATCAATTTTTATTAGAAAATTTTACAAAAATTCAATTATTTAAATACAAAAATAAATAATTTACTGAATAATCGAATGTTTCTCAAAATTAAATTCTGATAAAGAATTTTATCAACAAATTTTTAAATAATTAAAATTCTTTTGACAAATTTTAATAAATAATTTAATCTCTTTTAAAAAATTTGATTGAATTGAGAAAAGTTTTTGAAAACAATTGAAATTTTGTCAAGAATTTTATTAAAATTTTTAAAAATAATTAAATTCTGAAAAAGAATTTTATTATTTATAAAGACAATTGAAATTTTTACGAGAATTTTTTTAAACTTTTGACTATAATTGAATGTCTTCGATGAATTTTATTACTTTTGAAAATATTTGAATAGTGAACATTTTGTAAAATTAAATTAAAAATAATTAATTTATTTCAAGTATTTTGTTACAATTTTTAAAAATCAAATTTTGAATAATTTTAAATGCAAATTTTGAAAATAATTAAATTATCAAAAATTTGACTAAAAATTCTTTAAAGGTAAAATTAAAAATGAAAATAAGCTTCTAATTTTTTAAAATAAAGTATTTTTAATATTTTCACTTACATATTTCCGAAAATAATAACATTTTACAATTATTTTTAACATTTTGGAGAAAACAATAAGGTTCAAAATTTTTAATTAGAATTCATCGAAAAATTCATTAGTTTTTTTTTTAAATTGTACAAAAATTCTTTTAAGAAATACAATTATTTTTGAAAAATTACGTTAATAAAATATTTTTAAAAATTAATTATTAGAATTGTTTTGTAATAATTTTTTAAGATTCAAAATTTACTATTTGGACTTATCAAAATTTTTGAGAAATCATGGTCATGTTTATAATTAAAATTCTCGAAAAATTTGATCATTTTTATCTATACTTTTCAAATTTCAATTATTATTAAAAGATTGTTCCAAATTTTTATTTTTTGGATTAAAAAACTATTATCGTTCAAAAACTATTTTTAAATATTTTTAAAAAATTAATTGTACCTATAATAAGAAATTCTTTCTTATAATTTTTTGAAAAAATTATACCTTAATAACCTCAACTACTGATTTTCAAATTAAAAATATTGAAAAAATATTCGTCTGATTAAAATTGACTTAAACTACTGATTTTCAAATTAAAAATGTCGAAAAAATATTCCTCTGATTAAAATTGACATAAACTACTGATTTGCAAATTAAAAGTGTTGAAAAGATATTCGTCAGATTAAAATTGTCCTAAATTAATGATTTTCAAATTTTATAAAATTGAAAAAATAGTCGGCTGTCTAAAAATGACCTAAACGACTCACTTTAAATTCAAGTTATTTACAAAAGAAATCATCTTTAAAATTTTAAGACTAAAAAATTAAATTTTCATCAGAGTTATTCTGAAACTATATTTTATTCATTTTTCTATCAAACTAAAATTAAATTACTCTCATTTTTCGTATCAAATACAAATAAATAGGTTATTCTCCAGGAAAAAATAACTATTGACCTCGATGTTTTCTTTTTTAAAGGTAAATGCTCCAATTTGTCAATTGGTATTAATTTTTTTTTATTAGAAAAAAACGAATTCACTTCATTTACTTTTAATAAACGACGAATTTTTTATTGTTTATAAAAGAAATAAATTTAAGATATTTGCTCCAATTAATTACATTTTAAATACACGTATATATATGATTAAGGTTCTAAATAATTGAGAACTACTAAAAAATTTACAATATTAAATTATAAAACAGATTCATCCTTTGCAAAAGCAGTAGTTAAAGTCAGCATTAGTCAGCCGATGTTTAAAACCAATATTTAAAGCCTCAAATTTAAGAAAATAAACAGTTAGAGCGTGTTTCAGTGGAACAAAACATTTCTAAGCACTTTTCATTAGGAAATCAGAGTAGTTAAAGTCAATTTAAAGTTTAATTGACGAGAAATCTTTTTCAAGCGAATGTCATTAAAAAATCAGTGGTACAAGTCTATTTTAGTCAGACAATAATGTGCTTTATTCCTTTTATTTGAAAACTAGTAGTTCAAGTAAATTTTAGTCAGACAAACTGTTTTCATATAAGTATAATAAAAAATCAGTAGTTCAAGGGAATTTTAGTCAGACAAATTTCTTTAAACAAATATAATTAGAATATCAGAAGTTTAAGTCAATTTAAGTCAGACGAATATTTTTAATCAAATTTCGATAAGTTTCAGTAGTTCAAGTAAATTTTAGTCATACACATGTTCTAAAAGTTTTAAAAAATAAGTAAATAAAAGCTTAGTAAAAATAATTTTAAGTAAATTAATTAAAGTATATAAAAAATAACTCAAACTAGATAGTAACTAAATATTCTTTAATTTATTGAACAATTAAATCTAATTTCTATAAAAATAAAACGAAATTCTATTTTTACGTGATGAGAATAAAAGAAATTAAAAATATATACTTGAAAAAAGGACGATATAAAAAAAAGTTGGCTATTGTGAGTGAAGCTTTTAAAAATAAATGCTACAGACATGTTTAGATCCTTCACCTTATGTGTGTAATCTCTACAACTGGACGACGTATATACCTTTGTGTACGTATAACACGGTTTAAATGTATATATTCATACACATCTTGAATTGTATATTTCAAAGACGCTTTTGCCACAATACTGTCCACAAAACTCGCTACAATTTTAACTTTAACTCCAGATTTAGCTCGAGATTCTCAAAGGAAACAGGAATCGTTTCAAAGACGCTTAAACTATCTAACTAGACGTACAAAACAGAAAGCAAAAAAATTTTAAAAAAGCAAAAAATAAAAAAACAAAACAAAAGGAACTATTATACAAGTTTTATGAAATTAAAATTAAATCTTTTTCTCTAAGGCTAAAGAAAGCATCGTTCAGGAATAGTCTGATTTAAATTGTTTTAAAAAATTTTCAATCATAGTAATATTTTTATAAACTGAATTCAATTTCAAGTAAATTTTAGTCAGATAAACTGTTTTTTATACAGTTATCGTAAAAAATTGGTCTGACTAAAAATTTATTTTAACTACTGTTTTAAATTTTAATTATAATTTTTAATTAAAAATTATTTCTGTGACTAAAATTTATGCTTTCAACTTTTAAGTAGATTTTAAAAATTTATTTTTAAAAATATATTTTCAATAAATTTTTATATTTACAATTTTCTTCTTTTCTATAGAGGTTACATTACATAAAGAGAATTAAAAAAAAAATTTAAGAATAAAAAAAAAATTAATTCTGATATAAATCCCAAGAAAATGCAAAATTGTAAAATAAGGGGAAAATAGAGAGAAACTTTTCATCAACACTTTCATTTTGAAAAATTAATAATACTACATTTTAGTTGTGTTAACTTTGCGCGTATGTTTTTGCGGATAAAATAAAGTTTTTAACTCGACTTAATTTATACACCTTTCTCTTTTTAATTAAATTCTTCTCAGTAATCTCAGACTGTTAATTATTATGTACTTCCTTCATAATTGTACAGTAAACTTAATTTGTCCCATTTCCATATTTAACTCTCAGAAAATTCCGTAGTTCAGGTTACCAACTTTTACTCTTCCTTAACATTCTTTCTTTTTCCATATACATATATATATATAAATATATTCTCGAGCAATGAAAATACTTTCTTAGAAGGAAAAATTTTCTTTTTTATAAGTGAGGAAGAAATTTTTCAAATGTGAAAAAAAGAAAGTTTTTCTCGAATTTCAAGGTAAAATTTTAAGTATTTTAACTGACTTCGGAATTATTAGTCATTTCGTTGCTTATTGCGGCAAATTAAAATGTATTTTCACAATTTTCGATATAAATTTCAAAGAAAATTAGTAAACTTTATTTCAGACTTCGATAAACTTTGCTTTAGACGTGGTACTAAAATTCACTTTAAAAATAGTAAAAGTCGAAAATGATTTGAATTTCATTAAAATTTATGAAAATAATAGAATTTTGTTTTGAAAAATTTTATCGAAATTTTTGCAAATAAGTGAATTGCTTCGAAGAATTTAATTAAAAAATCCCTTGACAGCAATTGAATTCCTTTGAGGAATTTAATTAAAATTGCAATGAAAATAATTGAATTCTTATGAAGAATTCTGGCAGAATTTTTAAAAATAATTAAATTCTTTTAAAGAAATTTATTAAACAATTTTTGAAGTAATTGAATTCTTTCGATAAATTTTATTAAAATTGTATTAAAATATTTAAAATCAATAAAAGTCGTGTGAAGAATTTTATTAAAATTTTCATAATCTCATTATATTCTTTCGATAAACATTGAATTAAAATTACACATCAGTAAAGAATAGAATTTTTAAAAACAAAATTTTCTCAAAATTCTTGAAATAACAATTAAATTCTTTCGAAGAATTTTATTAAAAATTTTGTATAATAAATAATAATTGAATTCTTGCAAAGAATTTTATTCAAAATTTTTGTTAATAATAAATAATAATTTTTAATTTTAAAATTAATGTATTGAAAATCATTCAATTCTTGCAAAAAATCTTTTAAAAAAATTTGAAGAAAATAATTGAATTCATTCGGAGAATTTCTTTATTTATGAAAATAATTGAATTTTATTAAAATTTTTAAAAATTCTAATTAAATTCTTTTAAAGAATTTCTTTGCATTTAAAAAAAATGGAGTTTCTTTAATAATTTGCCTTAATTTATAATTTGAATTGAAAATTTTGAAAATAATTGAATTCCTGAAAAGAATTTTATTATTTATAAAAATAATTGAATTCTTGCGAAGAATTTTACTATTTATAAAAATAATTGAAATGTTTCGAAAAATTTATTAAAATTTTAGGAAATAATTAAATTGTTTGAAGAATAGTATTTTTTGCATTTTCAGCCTAAAAACAAAGTTTCATTTTCAAAAAAAAGCTTCAAAAATTGTATAAATAAATTTTTTCATTCAGTAATTTTTTTGTAGATACAAAAACATATTTTTTGCAAAATTACGAATGGATTTCAAAATTTGCCAATTTTTAAGAAAAATTTAAATTCAAAAAGGGTCAAATTATTTTTTGATATTTTTATTAAAATTAAGTTTATTCTAAATAATTGAATTCTTCAGAAGAATTTTATTATTTTTTGAAAATAATTGAATTCTTTCAATTTTTTTGACGAATATATTACAAAATTGCATTGAAATTAATATTTAATTTTCATATAAAATTTTTTAGAAATATTTTTATAATAATTGAATCATTTTTAGAGAATTTTAATTTCTTGTTAAAATTTAATTTTATGAAAATTTTTGAAAATAATTAATTTTTTTCGTGCAATGTTATTTAAATTGGATTTAAAAATAATTTAGTTTCTGCAAAGAATTTTAGTATTTATAAAAATAATTGAATTGTATCGAAGAATTTATTAAAAATTTTAAAAATCCTAATTAAATTCTTTTGAAGAATTTTGTTTGCATTTGTTTAAAATAATGGAGTTTCTTCAATAATTTTTATTAAAAATTTTGAAAATAATTGAATTCCTGAGAAGAATTTTATTATTTATAAAAATAATTGAATTCTTGCGAAGAATTTTACTATTTATAAAAATAATTGAAATGTTTTGAAAAATTTATTAAAATTTTAGGAAATAATTGAATAGTTTTGAAGAATTTTATAGAAATTTAAAAAAAATAAATTCTTGCAAAAAATAGAATTAAAGTTGTTTCGAAAATAATTCAATTGTATCGAAGAATTTATTAAAATTTTTAAAAATAATTGAATTTTATGTAAAAATATTTGAATTCTTCCGAGAAATTCAATTAAAATTGTTTTGAAAATAATTGAATTCCTGCAAAGAATTTTACTATATATGTATAAAAATAATTAAATTCTTGTGAAGAATTTTACTATATTTATAAAAATAATTGAATTGTTTGGAAGGATTTATTAAGATTTTAGAAAATAATTGAATCTATTCGAAATATATTAAAAAAATTTTTTAAAGATTGAACTCTTCCGAGGAATTTAATTAAAATTGTTTTGAAAATAGTTGAATTCCTTCCAAGAGTTTTACTATTTATAAAAATAATTGAATTATTTCGAAATATTAATTAAAATTTTAGAAAATAATTGAATTCTTGCGTGAAATTTGATTAAAATTTTGTTAAAAATAATTTAATTTTCCAAAAAATTGTACTATTTATAAAAATAATTGAATTCATCCGAAGAATTTGATTATTTATATAAAAAATAAAAAAAATTGAATTCTTGCGATGAATTATATTAAAATTTTTGAAAATATAAACAATAATAATTATTTGTTTTACTTAATAAGTGAACTTTTTAAATATTGATTATGAAATTATTTAAAAAATTATATTTGAAAATAAGAAATTTTGTAATTTGCATAACAATAATAAATTCAATACCACGTTTCGTAATATTTCCTAGTAAAAATATAAGAGTAATAAAAAGAAAGCCAATTTTTTAAAAACGGAAAAATGAAAATAGAAAATAATTAACTATTCAAGGAATCAAAAAAAAATTGTTTCGTAAGCAGACTAGTTCCTGAGTATGTATATACATTTCCTAATTATAGATCTATGTTCCCAAAACACGGAATTGAAGATTAGAATTTTCATCAAGAATCTGCTTGAATAGCTTTATAGAGAAAATTTCCAAGTCTATATAATTAGAGGCGACAGATGATATTTGGTATTTTAAGAACTTATGTCGAAAGTAATTTACTATAAGAATGCACTAAGCTTTAAAGGCTTTTCAATTTCAGCAAAAAAAAAAAAAAAAAAAGATGGAGAAAGAGAATTAAGACTCTGAAATTTTCATTTTGACGATCCAAGAGAGAGTTGATTATAAAAAAATAAAAACGAAGAAAAGTAGTTGTAGTAGTAGCGGTAGTAGTAGTAGTAGTAGTAGTAGTAGTAGTGAAAAATTAGTTTTACGCCTCTGTTATTGTGAAGAGAAGGAGACAGTATTGAGAAAATTACATTGTACTTCCTTGAAAATGGAATGGAAGGATAGGGGTGGGTAGAGTGAGGGAGAAAATTTGCCCTCGCATTTCCATCGTTTCGTCTGTTTTCCTTTTACGTTTCACTAACACAAAATCGCTTATTTGCAGTTCCTCCTGATATACTAGCTAACGGAACCTCACCGGGAGAGGTTTCCGTCGCGGAAGGAGAAAATGCGACTCTCTCATGTAAGGCATCCGGACGACCAGAGCCACGAATTGTTTGGAAGCTCGAGAATAATAATAATATTGTTATGAGAGGACCTGCAGATAAACCGATGAATGGTAAGAGATAGAATTTTTATTTTTACTATTTACTTATTCAATATTTACATATATAAATATATTCTGTATAACAATAATAAATATAGGTGCATTTTCTGAAAGTGACACTTTTCCCTACTTACTTCAATTTTTTAAAGCGAATTCTTTTTATAAATTCTCTTTAGAAACTTATAGATTTTTCTTTAAAATATATTTGTAAATAATTATTTTTATATTATCAAAATATTTTATTATTATTATTATATTATTATAATTTTTATATATTATTATAAATAATTTCTCCAACTTGAAGTACTTCAGGGTTGCTACGAAAATTTAATTTTGTTTTTCCCTGACTTTTCCCTGATTGCCAGACAAAATTTTTTCTTTTTCCCTGACCCTAAAGAATATTCTGATTCACTCTAAAAATTATTAGATACTCAAAAAAAAAATGTTCTGTAATGCTTTTAATGTTCAATATAAAATTTTAACTGAAATCCATCTTTTAATCAATATTTATTAGAAAATTCTACGAAAATTCAATTATTTATTTCTTTCTTTATTTTACAATCAATTAAATACAAAAATAAATAATTTATTGAATAATTGAATGTTTCATAAAATTGAATTCTCGTAAAGAATTTTATTAATAAATTTTTAAATCATTAAATTCTTTCGACGAATTTTTAATTTTTAATAGAATTTTTAAGAATAATTACATTTTTCGAGAAAAAAATTGAATTTAATCAACGTTTAAAATTGAAATTCTACGATGAGTTTTAATATTTATGAAAATAATTGAATTCGTAAAAAGAATTTTAATATTTTCGAAAATAATTCAATCTCTGTAAAAAATTGTATAGTTTATTAAAATAATGGAATTATTACGAAGAAATTTATAACAAAGTTGCAAATAATTTAATTCTTGTAAATTTTTACTATTTATGAAAATAATTACATATTTTCGTAGAATTTTATCAAAATTTGTTTTAAATAATTGGATTCTTTGGGGAAATTTTATTAAAATAGCAGATATTAAAAATCATTGAATTGAGGAAAATTTCTGAAAATAATTGAAACTTGGATAAAAATTTTATCAAATTTTTTAAAATAATTGAATTCAGGAAAAGAATGTTATTATTTATAAAGATAATTGTAATTTTGACAAGAATAATGTTAAATTTTTAAACAATTGAATTTTTGCAATCATTTGTAACTTTTTCAAAATGGAAATTTTTTAGTGTTTTTACATATAATTCTTCTATAAATCCATTTTTTAAAATAATTAATTATATATATATATGTACAAAAAATTTAACTGATTTCAGAAGAAATTGAAATATTTCAATTTTTCAAAAATCTATTAAAAATAATTTTAAAAAGGTTCGTCTGACTAAAAATTGATTTAGTTATTCGCGACTAAAAATTGATTTTAACTACTGTTTTTTTTGTTACTTAAATTCACGTCGACTTCTAATTTGCAGTTTATAATTTTAATATAATAAAAAAAAAGATTTGTCTGACTAAAATTAACCTTAACTACTGACTTTCAATTAAAAAACGCAGAAAAAATCTTTGTTTCACTAAAATTGACAAAAACTACTGATTTTTAATTCAATTTCAAAGTGAATAAAAAAGTTTGTCTACCTAAAAATTGATCTTTAATTAAATTTGATTTTTAATTTTAACTACTGTTTTTATTATGATTTTTGATTAAAAATTATTTCTGCAACTAAAATTTATATGAAAATAAAGAAACAGTTGAAAAAAGAATTGTCTGACTACAATATTGACTTTAACTACTAATTTTTAACAAAAAGTAATTGCAAAAAGATTTATTTTACTATAATTAACCTTAACTATTAATTTTTAAGTAAATAAAAGTAGAAAACATTTTTGTTTATACGTACATTTGATAAAATACCTACTAAATGAACTAAAGAAAAAACTCGCAAAAAAAAAGTGGAAGTATAAGTTAAAGGGGAAATTACAGACATATATTATATGGACAGAGAAAATATCAAGACCTTTCAAATAAAAGCTGCGCGCCTTTCTTTCTCTTTCAAGATCCCAATAACGAAAACACCAACCTAAATTTCTCATATAAAGCTGAATTGAGAAGAATAAATTTCCCTTTTTTTCTTATTTCCTCATCGATTCAAAAAAAACGAACAAACAATTCTAGTTCTAAAGACCTTCTCTATTTTTTTTTTTTTTTGCTTGAAACTAATTCTTTTCTTTAGAATTATTCCTCTGAAAATTAATTCAAATTATTTTTAATCACAAAAACTTTTAAACATTATTTATTATTTAAAAAAAAAAATTGCAAACCAAGATAAAAAAAACATTTAATTAAATAAATAGTTACTATCTATAAGAGAGAAAGAGTTCAAAAAAAAAAACATCGAGAGAATGAATAAAGATAAAAAGTACAGTATACATTTCTGAATGTGAATCGAAAAGGTGAGAGATAAATGAATGAGGAAGATTAAAAGATAGAATGGAATGAGAAGTTAAATTGATTGAGGAAAGGGAAATTTGTTGATGAAGCCGGAAAGGGCGAAAATGGAACGGGAAACTGAAGTCCAGACACTGACGGATTTTATAGTTTATAGTTTACTAGTTAATAGTTAGTAGTAGTTGTAAATAGAATTGTGACAGGATAGAATCAACTTTGTGATAGGTTATTTGTTTAATATTTTGTATAACTATATATGAAAACTCAAAACTCGAATATATTCTTGGCAAATTTCGTTGAAAAATTATACAGATTTTTCAAGGAATTTCTTTATACAGTACCGTCCGAAATTGTCAGTCCACCCATTTTTAAAGGAATGAAAAAAATTTGTTAACATAAAATTCATGAAAACTAAATTTTTTTTTGGTTTATATTTTAAAAGACGATCAAATTTTGAAGAGAATAAGACCTTACAGAAGTCATTTGGCCAAAATTTGTAGAAGATATTCTTAAAAATCGTCATTTTCAATGTTTCACAAAAATTTGAATAACTTCTAAAATAATGAACGCTTTTTAATAATCTTAGGCTTATTTTAAAGGTCATTTTCTACGGAATAAGAATTACTTATAGGCATTAACCTGTAATTTTTTACTTGGAATAAGCATGCCGTCAAAGTTGGACAAAAAAATTCAAAAAATTTGAAACAATATTATTAAAAGAAAAATAATTTTTGAAATTCAAACATATTTTTTTATTAAATTTTCTTGAAGAATCTACACCATATCATGTTTTATATATGTTCTAGAATAGTTTTTAGTACAAAAAATTTATTTTGAATTTTTTGAATTTTTTTGTCCAACTTTGACGTCATGCTTATTCCAAGAAAAAAATTACAGGTTAATGCCTATAAGTAATTCTTATTCTGTAGAAAACGACCTTTAAAATAAGCCTAAGATTATTAAAAAGCGTTTATTATTTTAGAAGTTATTCAAATTTTTGTAAAACATTGAAAATGACGATTTTTTAAGAATATCTTGAAAAAATATTTGCCAAATGACTTCTGTGAGGTCTTATTCTTTTCAAAATTTTATCGTCTTTCAAAATATAAACCAAAAAAAAATTTGAGTTTTCATAAATTTTATGTTAAAAAATTTTTTTCATTCCTTCAAAAATGGGTGGACTGACAATTTTGGCCGGTACTGTATAGCAAATATAAAAAATAAAATTAAAATATTAAAAAATGAGTAGTTCAAGTCAGTTGTAACCAGACAAAAATTTCAAACAATATTTCTTAAAATGTCAGTAGTTAAAGTAAATTTCAGCCAGACGGTTCAAAATTTTTAGGCATTAAAAACTGAGACTTTGGTTAACATTACAGAAAAAATTAAACTTTTATTTGATATAATTGTCAAATAAAAATCAGTAGTAAGAGTTAATTTTAAGTTATACAAAGATTTTTTTCTAATTTTTTTTTAAAAATTGAAAATCAATAGTTGAAGTTAATTTTAGTCAAACAAATCTTTTCGCAATTTCTTTTAGTTAAAAATCAGTAGTTAAAGTCAATTTTAGTCAGACGATTCGTTTCTCAACTATATTTTTATAGTTTTAACCAGAAAAAAAAATCTCAAGCAATATTTCTTAAGAAACAGTAGTGCTAATTAATTTTAATCAGGCAGATCTTCTATGCAACAAAGATAATTAAAACTATAAGTAGTACAAGTCAATTTTAGTCAGGCAAATAATTCTAAGCCATTTTAATTTTAAATAATTTTTCCAATTTTTCTAATAACTCTTTTCGAAATTCAATTATTTCTCAAAATTCACGCAATAGCAATAATGCTTTTAATATTCAATTATAATTTAAAATTTTCAGTGAAATTCATTTTATTCATTTTTTAATCAATTTTTATTAGAACACTTTTCAAGAATTCAATTATTTAAATAGAGAGATAAATAATTGAATATTTATTAAAATTGAATTTTTATGAAGAATTTTATCAAAATTTTAAAAAATATTTTAATTCTTTCGGCAGAATTTAAAAATTAATTTTAAAAATAAATGCAATTTTCTATAAATTTACTTAAAATTGTATAAAAAATAATTTTAATTCTGCGATAAGTTTTGTTATTTATGAAAATAATTGAATTCTTGCAACGAATTGTATTAAAATTTTTTTTTAAAAATTGAATTCCGAAGAAAAATATTATTATATTTATGAAAATAAGTAATTTCCTTGTGAAGAATTTTATTCAATTTTTTTTAAATAATTGAATTTCTCAGAATTTAAAAAAAAAATTATGAAAATAATTAAATTTCAATGAGAAATTTCATTAAAATATTTTTAAAAAATTAAAATGTAACGAAGAATTTTATTCAATTTTTTTTTAAATAATTAAATTATTGTGAAAAAATTTATTTTTGAAAAGAATTGATTTCTTGGAAAGAATTTTATTAAAATTTCTTGAATAATTGAATTGCTTCGAAAAATTTTATTTTTTACGAAAATAATTGAATTGTTAGAACATTTTTACAAACGTTTTTGACAATAATTGTATTCTATC